TGGGATTTATAATTAATTCCTTTTCATAACCAACTGTTGTTTCATTTGTTCCTATTTTTGTGTTACAATGACTAGCCCTTTTTAAATGGAAGAAATTTATTTCTTCCAGCAACCTCAAAATACACATTTTTAAAGTCTTTGTCAGACTGTTCCATAAAATTAATTTCAGCGAGAGTGAAAGTTCCATTTAATGGTTTGGTGGAATGTTGCTACCAGATAGAATGTCTTCAGTTTCAAGAAACATGAAAAACCTGTCTCAATTGATTAAACCAGAAGGAAATTTTATTATCTTGTAAATCATGCTCCCCAGTATGGCAGCTCTAGGGTCAATTAATTCCCCAGTTCAATAACATTACGATTTGCTCTTTTTTGAGACTCTGCCATACTAAATATGCCAGATTTGTCCATGGCAGCTCTCCTAATGATTACAGAATGGCTAAGGAGTTCCAGATGTTTCATGCAGACCAAATAACATTCACCAGAACAAGAGAAGCCATCTCTTCCTGAGAATTTTTTCAATCAGTAAGAAAATTCTTTCCCCAAATTCCTTAGTTCCCATATACCCCCTTTCCCCTTGCCTATAGTTTCCACTATCATTAACATCTTGTATTTGTGTTACACTTGTTACAACCGATGAACTAATACCGATACATTATTATTAACTAAAGTCCATAGTTTACATTAAGATTCATTCTTTGTATTATAGTTCTATGGATTTTGACAAATGCATAATGTTATGTATCCACCATTACAGTATCATAAAGAATAGTTTCACTGTCCTAAAAATCCCCTGTACTCCACCTATTCATCCCACCCTTCCCTGCCCTCCTTCCTACAAATTCTCCAAAACCACAACCTCTGGCAACCACTGATTTTTTAACTGTCTCCATACTTTTGTCTTTTCAAGAATATCATACAGCTGGAATCATATAGTATGTAGCCTTTTCAGATTGGCTTCTTTCACTTAGGAATATGTATTAATGTTTCCTCTGTTTTTTCGTGGCTTGATAGCTCATTTCTTTTCATGTCTGAATAAACCATTATATGGATGTCCCATGATTTGTCCATTCACTTATTGAAGAACATCTGGATTGCTTCCAATTTTTGGCAATTATGAAAAAGGCTGCTATACACATTGGTGTGCAGGATTTTGTGTGAACATAAGTTTTCAACTCATTTGGGTAAATACCAACAAGCACAATTTGTGGGTTGTATAGTAAGAGTATGCTTAGAATATACTTTTTTTTCCAAAGTGACTGTATCATTTTGCATTCCCACCAGCAATCAATGAGAGTTCCTGTTGCTCCACATTCTTCTCAGCATTTGATGTTGTTAATGTTCTGAGTTTTGGTCATTTTGATAGGTGTGTAGTGGCATCTCACTTTTGTTTAATTTGCATTTCCCTGATGACACACAATGTGGAGATCTTTTCACCTGCTTATTTGCCATCTGTTTATCTTGTTTGGTGAGGTGTCAATTTAGTCATTTTCCCCTCTTTTTAATTGGGATGTTTGTTGTCTCATTAAGTTTTAAGAGTTCTTTGTATATTTTGGTGAGTTCTGTGTTATCTTTTTAGATATGTGTTTTGCACATTTTCTCCCAATCTGTGGCTTATTTTTTTCATTCTACCAGTGTCTTTAACAGAGCATAATGTTTTAATTTTAATAAAATCCAACTTATCAATTTTTTTCTTTCATGGATTGTGCTTTTGGTGTTTTATCTAAAAAGTCTTCACGAAACTCAAGGTCAGACTAGATTTTCTCTTATGTTATTTTCTAGAAGTTTTATAGTTGTGCATTTTACATTTAGGTCTATGATCCATTTTTAGTTAATTTTTGTTAAAGGTATAATGTCAGTATTATCAGTGACCAGTTTTTCTTCCTTTTTTTGCAAGTGCATGTACAGTTGTTCTATCACCATTTGTTGAAGAAGACTAAGCTTTCTCCATTGGGTTGCTTGCCTTTCCTCTTTGTCAAAGATCAGCTGACCATATTTGTATGGGTCTACTTCTGAGCTCTCTATTCTGTTCCAGTGATCTATTGTCTGATTTTTCACCAATTTCACAGTATTGGTTACTATAGCTTTATAGTGAGTCTTAAGGTTGCTGTCAGTCCTTCCACTTTGTTCTTCTTCAATATTATGGGCAGCTATTCTGGGTCTTTTTTCCTTCCATATAAATTTAGAATCAATTTGTTGATTTCCACAAAGTAACTTGCTGGCATTTTGATTGGGATTACATTAGACCTATAAATCAATTTGGAAAAGAATTGAGACTTTTAACAATATGGAGTTTCACTACCCATAAACATGGAATATGTTTCCATTTATTTAGATCTTCTTTGATTTCTTTTATAACTTCGGTAGGTTTCCTCATATAAGTCTTGTACATATTTTTGATGTTAATGTAATAATGTTTCGAATTTCAGGTATATAGGTAACAAATGACTTTACTATGCTAACTTTGTATCCTGCAACCTTGCTGTAATTGGTCTTTAGTTCCAAGAGATTTTTTGTTGGTTCTTGGGATGTTTTTTTGTCTTGCTGCATTAGGTGGAACTTCCAGTACAATGCTGACTAGCACTGGTGAGAGGAGACATTCTTGCCTTCTTCCTGATCTTAGAGGGAAAGCATCTAGTTTCCCACAATTAAGTATGTTAGCTGTAAGTTTTCTGAATTTTTTTTTTTAAAGAATAAGTAATAATGCATCAGATTGTAGATGTTCTTTATCAAGCTAAGGAAGTTCCTTTCTATTCCTAGCTTGCTGAGAGTTTTCATCATGAATGTGTTATCTGATTTTGTCATATAGATTTTTTGTAATCTATTGGTATGGTCATATGATTTTTCTATTTTAGTCTGATGATATGTTGGATTTCATTAATTGATCTTTGAATGCTGAACCAGTTTTGGATATTTGGAATAAATACCACTTGGCTGTTATGCATAATTTTTTGTACTACATTGTTGAATTTGATTATTTTGTTGAGGATGTTTGTACCTATGTTCATGAAAGGTATCTGTAGTTTTCCTTTCTTGCAATGCCTTTGTCTGGTTTTGGTATTAGGGTAATGTAATGTTTTTGTCTGGTTTTGGTATTAGGGTAATGTAATGTTTTTGTCTGGTTTTGGTATTAGGATAATGCTGGCCTCATAGAATGAATTAGTTTCTATTTTTTGGAACACAGAATTGTCATCACTTTCTTCTTGAATGCACCAGTGAAACCATTGGGCCTGATGTCTTCTGTTTTGAAAGCTTATTAATTATTGATTCAATTTCTTTAATATATAGGCTATGCAAAGTGGCTATTTTTCCTTGTGTGAGTTTTAGTAGATTGTGTCTTTCACAGAATTGGTCCATTTCATCTAAGTTATAACATCTGTGGGCACAGAGTTATTCAAAATATTCTTTTATTACCCTCAATGTTCCTGGGATCTGTAGTGATGGCCCCCACATATAGGTTCTCAGAACTTGAAACATTTTCTCCAGCATTCTCAAAGCCACAAAAAAAAAACCTTCAAGGGTTGTAAGCTTAGATGGAGTACAAATCAAGACTAATTCTGCTATAATTTACGTTGTTTATGATTGAGATGAAAAGTGGGCAAAAAAATCATGCTATGTTAGAAGGCTGGGTTAACAAATTAAGAAGTAGGATGCAATCATCACAGTTTTCTTTAAAACTTTACACAAGATGCTACAGTAAAAAGATTCAAACCAATAGATGTATGTGAAATCAAGACTTGCCAAATAAATCATCAAGTTGTTTATTGCCTTTATCTATTTCTTACTGTAATTTGCAACACAGAGAAGCTCACAGACAACAGTATTATCTGCTCTTGTCAGACAGAATTATTGTCAGACTTATACTGCTAGCACCATTTTTCCTTTCTCCAGTAACTCTGAGGAATAATAAGTTGCTCAATCCTTTGACTCCCAACTAGAGTATTCTAGGAAGGTACTTTTGTATGTCATCTTCCCATAAAAGAACTTACACATTTTCTAAAATATAACAGTATTTGTATTTTCTATAAATGGAACATGGTATACTCGGAATAGTTTTTGCCTACTTTAAAAAAGATGAAGTATTTAAGGTAAACAAGAAACTTGGATACTATAATGCAGTAGGAAGCATTTTCAAAAATAAAAGTATACACTAAGTCATCTTAGAAAACTAACGATACAAAAAGTATTTGGAATTCTCTAGTTTAGCTTATATGTAGTTCTATAATACCATCATTTATCTACCTATGAAAAAGTCTATTTAGTTTATTAAAATATCATGCCACATCCCCAAAAAAGCTAGAGTTTTTAAATGAGAATTTTATTTACAGGAAAGTCACAGAGGATTAACAAAATTTTATGAACACAGTATTGTTAGTAATAATTAACAGAATCAAGAATGATTTAATATATATCATCACTTGTAATATAATACACATTAAAATATAGTTTTCATGCTACCTTTATCCATTAGTTTTTTAACATTCAAATTTTTAACAAATCTAGAAATATGGCATTATACATGGAACAGATTTACTAAATGCTTTTAAATTATGCTTCCTTCTACATTAAGATACTAAGTCAATTTTTAAACCTCCTGCAAATTAAATGGCCTTTCCATTACAATTTGTAAATTTAAAGGATGTAAGCACCAAATGGAAATCAAATGCATAAAAGAAACTGTCATAAATTTTAAAAGAAAAATATTACATTATCAATATCATAAATTAACAACGAATTTTCCAAAGAATATTGCAGAAGTAAGGTATATTTAAAGTTTTGTAATAATTAAGCCTAGAATATTTTTCACTTGCATTCTTGTCCACCCAGTTGAAAATACCAAAGCAATGACTGACTGCGAAAGGACCATTTTTAAATGAATAGTGGATGGCAGCATGAGTCATTTTAAGCACAAAAGGAAGATGGACTATGTGCTTTGATTTGCAAATAATGTTCCTTATCCAAGTAATTCTCAGTGTTTCCATTATCCTTGAATGACAAGATTCTTTAAGTACGTGTGAAAAAAAGACCATCTTTTTACTGATGGAAGGCTTCTAATCTTATTCGGGTTGGATCTTCTGGATGTCTCAAGGCAATTCCATTACGCAGGAGCAGCTCAATATAAGGTGGCCAAAAAGAATCACTAATTTTGACATATGGGTCATGTGGAACATCAAATAATCTATTTAAAAGAATCTAGAAAAAAAATCATTCAAAATATACCTTACTTGGAAAAAAACTGATACAGCTATAATAAAACATTAATGAAGTTTCTTACCAAAGAATGTTAATGTCTTTTCTCTTTGAGTAATTGTTTATATCATAATTTCTATGTATTAACTTAAACAGTTGATTTTCTTTTTTTAAAAAACAAATATTAGTGAATGGAAATAGCTTTAAAATGAATCTTTGCACCTTAACTTTTAAAATTCCTAAAAACTAGTTAAAAGGCACTTACAATTCTCTCACTTCTCTTAGGATTAATAATTTGCTTATGTTACAAGATTGGTTATAACCATTTCTTAAAAATAAAAAACTTAAATACTCAAAAAGTTCAAAAACAGCATACATATCTTAATATTTGGGGGAAAGAGAAATCACCAATGCTACTCTTCCCCCAAAAAACACCTATTCATCTGATAAATCTTTGAAACAATTCTATCATCATCATTTCCTTCAAATTATCTTAAATATCTTTGATTTCTTCACTAAGGATATTGAGGGGTTACAACCACAAATTGGGACGTTTTGAGTATCTGTAGTAAATTATATAAGACTAACATTTCCCAAACTACATTCCATGGAATTGGTCTCCCTAAGGATGCTCTTAGTGTGGAGAAACAGGGTTCTATGGTTATATAAGCTGGAGAAAGACTGCCAATGTGCACTCAGAATCACCTGTATATCCCAGATCCACTGGCATTAAAAAAGTTTTTTTAAGAAACACACATTTAAAATTCTTCAAACACTAATGTTTTATGAAACATACTGAAAAATGCTAAATATGTATCAATTATTACTCTACCTCCTCAGCTCCCACAAAGTGCCTTCACAAATTACAAAACCAGAATCCAGAAGGGTTAAAAGATTCCTCAAGGGGCACATAATTAGTAATAGATCATGGATTAGACTCCATATCTCTGAATTGCCAAGCCAAAGCTTTAAATATATTATATTAAGAAACACAGAAAAGGAAAAATACAATTTATACAAATATAAAGTACCATAGAAATAAAATTAAAACTATAAAGCTCTCATCTCAATCACATTTCATAATAATATCAACATTTCAATTCTTTTTTTTTTTTTTTTTACATCTCAATTCTTGAAATAATTTCATCTGCCATTAACTTTAGCTATTTCTTTTTTTTTTTTTTTTAGCTGCAACATGTGGCTTGTGGGATCTCAGTTCCTCAACCAGGGATTGAATGTGGGCCGTGGCAGTGAAAGCTCGGAATCATAACCACCAGGCCACCAGGGAACTCCCTAACTTTAGCTACTTCAGAACCACATCCTGGAGAAAAAAGCTCTTGGTCTCATTTCTTTTAGGTATGATAATAAAATAATTAAATATTATTCCCATTTTAGAGCAACTGCTTATTTTAATATAATTTAAAATTTTTCTTTTCATTTCTAACTTCAGTTATATTAATCAAACTTCTAATAGATGCCAGAAATAATTAAATGCTAAAAATTCTACTTTAACATAAACATGTATATTGGTTTATTCTTCACTGAACTGCAGTTTAAATTCTGTTTATATTTATTATTGATAATACGAGCCTTGGAGACAAAAATAGTTTCTAAATCTAAGTTTTACATGGTATCTCATAGTGCATTATTCAAAAATTACACATGTATTTCCCAGTTAACAACTGTCAATATTTGCCACATATATAACAACTTTTATTAAAAAAAAGTCAAGTCATCCATGAGAAACATTGGTTTCGGTATAAACTGGACTAAATAGGAATATGTTAAAAGATTCAAATCACAATCTAAAAAATAATTGTATTTTGCTTTCCAAAGTAATAATATTCTATATTAAGATATCCTGAGGCACCAAAACCATTTAGCTAGATACATAGAGACTTTAGCATCCAATGCATAAAATTACAATGTGAAACAAGTTTTCTGAAATCACTTTATTCTAAACTTACCAATGACTTTAAAAAGTCACATTAATTGTTAAATAGCTCTTCATAGACTACCTTCCTCTCCACCCAATCTGCAATAGGTCATCATATAAAGATTTAAGTATTTAATATAGTCGGTAATTTGGCTGAAGTTCAAAAACTTCTTTTTTTTAAAGGTCAGAGATATTTGTAAATAAAATAAAAAGCAAATGTCAGGCAGAAAAAGGTGTAATGCGTCCTTACATTATGAAAAAAGAAGCTGATGTTATTTAAGGAAAATCTGTGAATGAAGTTCTGCAACTTTGTGGAAAGAATCCTTAAACTCAATTGTGTATTTTAGATAGAATACAGACTGGCCAACTAAAGATTACATCAATGTAACAGCATAGGCTTTTACTGTGTAGATACTAAACAACATCATAAAATTTTTCTTAAAGTAATAATCGGGAACACGATTAAGAGTAAGACTTCAGTTTCATCTTCTTCTAAAAAATAATATTTTCTTACTACATAGAAACTAATTTTATACTAAGATAAATTAATATATATAATAAAGTTTGGTGTATACCTTAAGAACTAAAGCAGCATTTTTTTCTTTTTCAAGCCTATGTATAATTGTTCACAAATCACTAGTGAAGAGATATCTTCAAGACAAAACAACTACACAAAACACTTACCTCTAACATTTCATGCAGTGTTATCAGCTGTGCAGTTGATTCTTGAATGTTTTTCTTTGAGAGAAGTGTGAATAACAAAGAATTAACATTTCAATTCTAATGGCAGAATATTATACTGTATTTATTACAAAATTTCAAAAATTAATATTCCTCAATTGCAGTGGTACAAGATATACTAAAACCAAACATTTATAATGAGATGATTTAAAAAGCATTCTGAAAGAAAACAACCTGCTGTACTAAACAGTAAGGTTCATAAAAATAGTTGAAACAACCTCTTAGACAGGGAAATCTTTTGCAATTACTAGAAGATACAATTCAGAGTATCCACCTATCTATCTATCTACCTATCTCTAAATATGGAGATAAATTATAAAGTTATATAAATGGATAAATTATATTATACATATTATATATATTCATATAAATGAAAATCTAATGTTTGAACCTTCCCAATCAAAATATCCCAAACAAATGACATTCCAGTCTGTATTGATACAGCTTCGGGACAGGAAACTTGCTTCCCAGGGAGGTTTGTTCATCTTTCTATAGTTCTTGACAGTTCCTAATATTAACTCAACTCACTAGTTCTTTTTTTCTTGGAATGACAGAGAATAAATCTCATTCCAATTCCACCCTAGAGTTCTCAAATATCTGAAGACAGCTATTATGAGCTCCCTGCCTTCTCCATATTAATCATCATGAGTTTCTTCAATTATTTCTCATAGACTTGCAGCCTCTCAATAGCATGGTTGTTCTCTAAATGTGTTCTAATTTACCTTTTTAAAAAAATCCAGTCTCCACAATGATATAGCTGTGATTAGAAAACCAAAGATGAAATGGAAGACTCACTTCCATACGTGTAGAAGCTGGAATTCTATTCAATAAGTTTAAGATTGCATTAGCTTTTGGACATCTATTCTGCCCTGCTGACCTCTATCTGAGAACACTATCATCTAAAGTGCCAAAAGTTTCCTTCATTGTATATAGCTAAGATATGTCTCCTTCGTTCTTCAATGTTTTAAACTCAAGAAAGATATTCTATGTACCTCCACTAAATATCGTCCTATTTTATTTGGACCATCCTATTTTATCTTGGCCAGTTAAAAAATACAGTTCTAATTCTGTCATCCAATATATCTAGTCCTCTCTCAATTTCATATCATTTGTAAACTTTGATGACTATGTCCTCTACCTCTTTATCCAAATTACTGTTAAAAATGTTCCATAGGATAAGGTTCTAAGGGAAATCTTCTAGGATAATACTACAGCTAATCAGCAGCTTTTGAGTTCAGACATTCAATTAACTACAAGGTCTCCTACTATTGTGACATCTAGTACCTTCCTGACAATAATCAAAGATTAGCATGGAGTTCTCCTAAGGTTTTACAGAAATACAAATATATTAAAGAAACAAGCAGCAAGGCACAGATTAAAATATAAAGGTTTGAGACAATCAAAGAAAATGCAGAAGAAAAATATAATGAAAGAAAACAAAAAAAAAAGTTTCAACATAAGGATATGATAAACAATGTAAAATATAATAAAATAAAATTGCCATGAAATGCAATGTGACCTAAATCTGCCCCTGGAAACAATGCATCATCTTCAAAGCAAAACTGATATTGAATGATCAACATTGTGACATATCCCTGTTAAGTTACTGAAGTTCAGAGATAAAGAATCCTTCAGGCAAATAGTCAGAAGCAGCAAGACATCTACAGGCTGGCCTCAGACTTCTCCACAGCACATTCAATCTGAGAAGAATGGAGAAACCCCTTACCAAGTCTTGTGACTTTTAAAATCTCTGCCTAAGATAAGCGTTTAAGTATACAGCAAAATATGTTCAGCATTTAAGAATTCAAAAAATAAAACACCCAGGAATTCTTCTTGAACAAATTACTTGTCAAACAAACCCATCATATCAAACAATGGATAAAACTTAAAAACTCAAAAATGAATGGTAAAAGATGATAAGGATTGAATCCAACATAATGTACAATAAAGACTAAATGTATACATGAATGATGGTATCAGAACAGAATATAAATGCAATGAAACTATCAAAGTTAAAATAAATAACACAATTTATTTATTTTAAATAAAACTCTGATGGCACCTTGATCTTGGAATTTGGCCTCCAAAACTATGACAAAATAAATTTATTTTGTTTAAGCCACCTATTCTTTGGTATTTTGCTATGGCAGCTTGAGCCCACTGATACATCCATTATTATTGCTTGACAGAGAGAGAGAGAGAGAGAGGGAGAGAGAGTAACCTATCAGTTTGTAATATGTATCAACAGTTCATATACTTCATTTAAAAAAAGTGAGCTTATCCAATATGACTGAATAAACTCATGGTGGCTTCTGGTAATCAATGCTTTTGTTTAGGAGTGTCTCAAACCTCTGGTTCTAATAGTGGAGAACCTTAATAGGTTAAAAAAAAAAAAGTTGAAAAAAAGACTGGAATCAGAAAATAAATCATTAAGTTATTTTAAGATTATGATCATTAAGAGGTAAGGGATCATGAATTTACTGAAATCATTAACAGAAGGCCGTTAACAATTTCACAAATGACTAAGGGGCATAAATAACAATGGACAGAATGGGAGAAATTGTCCATAACAAACGTAAAGCCTACTGATAATTACAAAGAAGACAGGGAAGAATAAATAAACGCAGATTATAAGAAAATAAACTTTTTTCTCCTTTTCCTAGTATGCTCACAGTCATTCAAGAAATATGAACTCAGAAGGTACTACAATAGGTATGCAAGACAGTACAGACACAAAGATGAATTAAACAAACCAAGGAGCTCACAGAGCGTGGTGGGTCAACAGAGAAAGAGAAATAAATGGTTACTACAAAATCATGTAATAAATGCTAATAAAATGACACCAAAACTTCATTCAATGCATCACACAAAAGATGATGTTTGAGTTGCTTTAAGAAAGAATTTACTATTTTCACCAGATAGGAATTGTTTCGTAACCAGAGAGAATAGAATGTGTAAGGCACAAAAAAGTGACAGGTCATTGCATATCTGTTGGAACTGTATAGTACTATTGTTGAATGGACTCATGCAAGAGATGAATAAAGAATGGCTGAAAAGGAGGCTAAAGAGATAGACAAAGTCCAGAATATAAATTCATTCCTCTACGGAGTTTATAGACTTCATCCCAGAGGGAGGCATCAAAAGTTTTATGTTGAAAAATGATTTAAATATGTATATTTTAAAATACATGATTAAATAAATTGTTAAATATGTTTATTTTTAGAAAGATTGTTCTGGTCCCAGTTTCAATGCCTATTCCACTTCCACAAGTTCTATTTATTTATACCTATACTATTTTTTTTTTTTTTTTTTTGCGGTACGTGGGCCTCTCACTGTTGTGGCCTCTCCCGTTGCGGAGCACAGGCTCCGGATGCACAGGCTCAGCGGCCATAGCTCACGGGCCCAGCTGCTCCACAGCATGTGGGATCTTCCCGGACTGGGGTACGAACCCGTGTCCACTGCATCGGCAGGCAGACTCTCAACCACTGCGCCACCAGGGAAGCCCTATACCTATACTATTTTTAAAAAAGGAATTAAAGTGCTTGTTCCCAACCTTCTGTCACTCGATGAAATATTTGCTTTTGTGAAAAAGGTTTATTCCATCATAACTGTTATTAAAATAGTCAATAACTTACCTTAACTACAGGTACCTTCTGATTTTAAAAGTTACATATGTTTATCATAGAAAATTTGAAAAACAATGAAAACAAAAACAAATCTTACCTACAATCTTAGCCCCAGGCATAAGCACTATTACGTTCTTTGGTACAAATTAGACTCACACAATTTAATCATCTGTGTTTTATCTTCTAACAATCAATAATTTGTGAGATTTCATAAACTCTTTTGATAGTGTTCAATACATTTTTAAAAGCTGCATTTTTCCATCAATATGAATACAATGTAAAAAAATGTATTTAATCTTATTTTATTACATAACTAGGTTGCTTCTAATTTTTAATTATTATAATGTGATGATGGAATATTTCTGTGCATGTACCTATTTGTGTATGTCTTTGAAGTGTATATTTAACATAAAAATTTATCAGAAAATTTACCTGTGAACCTATCTAAAACAATTTCATATGTGAATATCTACATGAATGTCTTCTCTAAAACTTACCTTTTTCTTTTTAACATTTCTATCAGGCAGAGGAAAATGGTCTTCTAGAAATTCACCCAAGGTAACCAAGAGTTTCTCCTTATATTCTTTTATATCACGCATTTTCGTTTTCAGCTCATTAAAGATTCTAAAAGATTTTTTTAAATTTAAGAGAATTAATTTGCTGATAAAATACTTAAGTATATATAACTGGTTACTCATAAAATTAATCAAAAACTTTGTTCAAACTTCATTGCTCAAAATAACTAGCTTTATGAGATAAATAGTCTCTATTTAACATGTAGGAAAACTAAAAGTCAAATTATTCATAAAAGATTAGGTAACTTAACAATTGGCAAAAGTCAGGGTAAGACTCACAATTTCTGGTAAAATTTACCTTCTTTTCATCTATGTATTTCATATAACATAAAAAAGGAAATAATTTTTCCTATTACGAAAACCTAGAACACAAAATCAATACCTTGATTCAGAAAATGTCACAACCTGCTGTTTCAAATCATTGTGTAGTACATTAAGAGATTCCAATATCTGTTGCTGTTCATCCAACCATTTTTGCTCCCTTTAAACATGAAAAAACAAAACAGTATTCAAATAAAACATAATGCCAATTCAATATATATCAATGATTAGTAGTAATTATAATACAAATATACCTTTCTAAGTCTTCCTTTAACTTTTCATTCTTTGACTGAATAGTAGATAGTGCCAATTCAAGATCATGCCTCAATTTTTGGAACTAGAACAAAATAATTAAAATTAATTGCTTAGTCTTTACTCCTGTAAATAGTGATATTTCTGAATGAGAGTGAAATTTACATACTAGGATATATATTCAGAAATCAACAGCAAAAAAAAGCCTAGCAAAAAATCTTTAAAAGGGAAATTATACAGCAGGTACTAAGTTCTTTGTAATATTTCATTGTTAAATTAAAAAATATAAGGGGTTTTGAGCAATAATTTCTAATTTCATACTGAAAGGCAATTTAATGGTGAATTTTCAGTAACCAGGCAGATTAGGTCTCTTTTCTAAGGAGACTATACAAAACAGACACAAATGAATATCACTCATTCAACAAATACTTATTGATCAGTTGTTGACCACCAGGCATTGATGAAGGAGTCAGGGATGCAAAGATGAACAGAACAAAGAGGCGAATCCAAACAAAGAAACAAACTTGTAACTCCAGAAAGGGATAAATACCATAAAGTAAAAATAGGTCAAAACGAGAGTATAGAAATGAGGAGCAGGGATGGCTCTTTTAGGTAGGTAGTATGATATGGAAAGACCTTTCTGATCAGGTTAACTAACAGTTTAGCAACAGAGAAAGACAGCAAAAGATAAGTCATGTCACCATCTAGCAAAAGAATGTTCTAGGCAAAGGGAATTTTACGTACAAAGGCCCTGAGGCAGAAGTATGAGGTATCTGAGGAACATATAAGAAGACTGTGTGGCTATAGGGGATTACAATAAGCTAAACTTTTTCTAGTATCCTTTTGTTTCTAGAACACATTAGCTAGTGTTCCATTCTCCTGATATTAAGCGTTTCCATTAGCTTCTTATAATTCTAAATCTGTAATAATATAAAATTGTATATTATAAACCCTAGAGCAACCATGAAAAAAAAATGAAGAGATATACCTAATAAGCTAATAATGTAAATAAAATGCATTTATTTTGAAAAATACACAATTAATCCAAGAAAGTGGGAAGAGAGGAGAATAGGAACAGAGAAAATGTAGGACAAATACGAAAGAAAAATCAAATATGTACATTTTAATGCAACCATAATGATATTACATTAACTATGATCCAATAATGGAATTAAGTTAAATTACTAATCAAGTTATTTGTAGTGAGGTGGATGCACCTAGAGTCTGTCACACACAGTGAAGTAAGTCAGAAAGAGAAAAACTAATACCGTATGCTAATGCATATATATATAGAATCTAGAAAAATGATGAACCTAGTGGTAGGGCAGGAATAAAGATGCAGACATTGAGAATGGACTTGAGGACACAGAGGGAAAGGGGAGGCTGGGATGTAGTGAGAGAGTTGCATTGACACACATACACTACCAAATGTAAAATGGATGGCTGGTGGGAAGCTGCTGCATAGCACGCGGAGATCAGCTTGGTGCTCTTTGACCATCTAGAGGGGTGGGATAGAGAGGGTGGAAGGGAGGCTCAAGAGGGAGGGAATATGGGGATATGTGTGTGCATACAACTGATTCACTTTGTTGTAAGGCAGAAACTAACAAATACAACATTGTGAAGCAATTATACTCCAATAAAGATGTATGAAAAAAAAAAGAGCTAGGTAACTTGCCTGAGATTTCACAAATAAAAATAAAAAGTGTCAGAGCCCATACTTAAAAAAAAAGAAAAGAAAAAGAAATAGTTCAGTATATAAATTGCAATTCACTATAATAACTGTACCAATAAAACTTTTAAAAAGTTCAAAAAAAATAATCAATCATAGAAAGGTACCTGGAAAAATGTGCAAATATTTGGATACTAAAAACACACTTCTAAATAATCCATGGGTCAAAGATGCAATCAGCAGGAAAATAAGAAATTACTATGAACTGTCTGAAAATGAAAAGGTTAAATTTTCTGGAATAAAGCAAAAGAAGTACTCAGATAAAAATTTACACCACTAAAAGCCTGTATTAGAAAAAAGAAAGCTCTCAAATTAATGACCTTAGCTTCCACCACAAGAAACTAGAAAAAGAGCAAATAAAACCAAAGGTAAGCTGAAGAAAATATAATGGTAAAAGTTTTAAATCAATGAAATAGAAAAACAAAAAGAAAAATAGGGAAAAATCAATGAAACCCAAAGCTAATTCTTTGAGAAGATCAATTACCCAGACTAATTAAAGGAGAAAAAAAGAACACAAATTACCAACATCAGGAATAAGAGAGGGGGCGCTGCTACAAACATTAAAATAGTAATGGAGGAATACTATGAACAATTTTCTGTCAATAAATTTGACAAACTAGATGAGACAAACTCTTTCAAAGTCACAAACTACCAAGGTTCATTCAGAGAAAGATAACCTGACTAGCCATAAAGCAACTGAATATATAGTTTAACATTTTCCCACCAAAAAATTTCTAACCTCAGACAACTTCACCTATAAATTCTAAGAAACATTTAAGGAATAAATAATACTGATTCCATACAAGCTCTTTTGAAGAGAGAATACTTCTGAAATCATTCTATGAGCTTAGTATTACCCTGATACCAAAGCCTGAAAAAGATGTCACCAAAAACGAAAACCACAGACCAATATCTCTCAAAAACATAGACACAAAACTCTTAATAAAATTTTAGCAAATTAAATCCATCAATAAATAAAAAAGATTAATACATTATAGCAATGTGGGGTTTATCTTAGGAATCAAGTTAATAGTTGAAATCAGTGAATTTAGAAATAAGTGACAAGGAATAAAGACACAGACCTACTAGAGAATGGACTTGAGGATATGGGGAGGGGGAAGGGGGAGCTGTGACAAAGCGAGAGAGAGGCATGGGCATATATACACTACCAAACGTAAGGTAGATAGCTAGTGGGAAGCAGCCGCATAGCACAGGGAGATCAGCTCGCTGCTTTGTGAGCACCTAGAGGGGTGGGATAGGGACGGTGGGAGGGAGGGAAACGCAAGAGGCAAGAGATATGGGAATATATGTATATGTACAACTGATTCACTTTGTTATAAAGCAGAAACTAACACACCATTGTAAAGCAATTATACCCCAATAAAGATGTCAAAAAAAAAAATGACATAGCCCGAGGACACGACATAAACTGATTACAGTAAGTCCCCTACGTATGAACCTTCAAGCTGCAAACTTTCAAAGATGAGAACATGCGTTCCATCAATGTCAGTCATGAGTGAAATTGCAGCTGCCCTCCGTCTCCTATTCCTGACGATCCTTCAGCTCTACCATCTCCCACCTCCTTCCCCTCCTCCAGTCAGTAACTCTTCTTGCCTGTTCACTCGATGTCAGCCCCTGTATGCCAGATGTTGTACTGTACTACTGTACTTTTCAAGGTACTGTACTGTAAGATTAAAAATGTTTTCTTTAAAAAAAAAAAAGAAATAAGTGACAAAATTCAATATTAATTCATGATTTGAGAAATTCTTCATAAATTCTAATGAAAGGTAATTTTCTCAACTTTATTAATGGCATCTATGAAAAACCTACTGCTAACATCACACTTAATGGTCAAAGAGTGAATGCTATCCACTAAGATCAGGAACAAGGCAAAAATGTTCATTTTCCCCACTTTTATAAAATACATTACTAAATATTCTAGGACAGTACAATAAGCCAAGAAAAAGAGATAAAAAGCATCCAGATGGAAAGAAATAAGTAAAACTGCCTTTGTTCTCAGATGACATGACTAGCTATGTAGAAAATCTTACAGAGGACTTCCCTGGTGTTCCAGTGGTGAAGACTCTGTGCTCCCAACACAGGGGTCCCGGGTTCGATCCCTGGTCTAGATCCCACAAGTATGCCGCAACTAGAGTTTGCCTGCCACAACTAAAGACCCCATGCGGCCAAATAAATTAAAAAATTAATAAATACATTAATTAATTAAATATAAAAGAAAATTCTACATAATCTACAAAAAAGCTACTAGAATAAAGGAGTTTATCATGCTCACTAGATACAAGATTGACATATAAATATTAATTGTATTTGAATGTACCAGCAATAAATAATTGAAATTTTAAAAAAGAATACCATTTTAATAGCACCAAAAATATGAAATACTAAAGGGATGAATCTGACAAACATATATAAGACCTGCACACATCTTTTTTCTTTTTTTTTTGCACGCACCTTGCGGCACGCAGAATCTTAGTTCCCCAACCAGGGATCGAACCTGTGCCCCCTGCAGTGGAAGTGCAGAGTCTTAACCACTGGAATGACAGGGAAGTCCCTCATGGCTTGCACACTTCTATCACAATTTATAAAGTCTTTTTTTGAATCATGAATTAATATGGAATTTTGTCACTTAATTCTTTCTGAATTTATTGAAATGATAAAATGCTTTTTTTTTTTTTAGTCTGTTGATATAGTGAATTACAAAACATTAGTGAGATAAATTTTGTAAATAACAAATAAACGGAGGCCTAAATAAATGCAGAGACCATATAGTGCTCATGGATCTGGACTGAGACTCAATATGTCTCTTCTCCTCAATTTGAACTATAGATTCAGGGCAATCTCAGTCAAAATTCCAGTAAGCTTCTTTATGGGACAGAATGACAAGCCAACTCTAATTTATATGAAAATATGAAACAATTTTGGTAAAAACAAAGTTAGAGAACTCATACTACTTAATTTCAAGACATTACAAAGCTTCAGTAAACAAACCAACACAGTATTGGCCTAAAGACAGAAATACAGAACAAAGGAAAAGATATATCCACCACATAGGATGGAGAACAAATGGAGAGTCTAGAAATAGATCCACACATATATGATCAATTAATTTTCAACACATATGCAAAGGAAATTCAAAAGAAAAAGATAGTTTATTCAACAATTTGTGCTAGAATAATTAGTATCCACGTGAAAGAAAAAAGAACCTTTATCAGTAACTCATTCCACATGCAAACGTTATTCTAAAATGGATCATAGATCTAAATGTGAAACCTAAAATATTAAAATTTCTAAAAAAAAAAATGAAAGAAACTCTTTGTGACCTTAAGTTGGGCAAG